CTATCATTAAATGGAAATATTTACTTCTACTGAAATTACATGTAATTACTTCAATTCACGTTAACTTGTAACATAGTTATCTAAACTAAATTAGTTGATATAGAGAGACTCTGCTTTGATTATAGTGTGATTTAGTTTTCGTTGAAACATATGAGTTGAGATTGTGTTTTGGCAATGATAGATTACTTGCTTGTGTCTGTATTGACATTGATAGCTGAGGAGATCATGCCCTTTGGTTTGGCATTGATATATTACCTGCTTGTGTCTGTATTGACATTCAGAGCTGACGAGATTGTGCCTAGTGCTTCAGCATTGATATATTAATAGCTGGTGTCCGTGCTGACAATGATGGCTGATGAGTCTGAATTGGCATTAATAGAAAAATATGAGTGAGTAGTACCTGGATTGATACAGTTCTGGACTAAGTTTTAAGAGTACAGCATTTACTACAATCTTAGATATGATCTTATATACATACAACTGTAATAAATATTGAGTAACGTAACACAATATTCTGTAAACCTGCAGTATGTTGTACATTATAAAGTTATCTATGGTTGTAAACTTCTACATACAACCCATTATTCATTTGAACTGCGTTTCAAATAAATACGTAGCAGAATTAGCTTAAATCATGTGATATATATAATGACGTACATGTGAGATAGATAACGTCATAGAAATTGTAATTATGTTTATTAACTTTAACATATAAACCACAAATACACTAGTTGATAAAGTAACTCCATACTATTTACTGCAAGAGAGAAATTATTCCCTGTTTTAATAAACAGGTTAAGGATCGTCCCCTTTGATTTGGGATAGATATTTACGAGCTTTTGATTGTTATCCATAGCGAATGAGATTGCGCCCAGTGGTAGTGACATTGATAGATCACAAGATTGTAGTGGTGTGATTCCCTTTTTGATAATTAGGTTGAGAATCCTCCCCTTCGATTCGGGATTGATAGTTACAAGCTTCGGATTGATATTGACAGATAATAAGATCGCTCCAGTGGTAGTGGCGTTGATAGATCATTGAATCCATGTGGTTCCCTGTTTTGATGAACAGGTTGAAGATCATGCCCTTTAATTTTGATAGTTGCAAGCTTCCGATTAATATTGATATCTACACTGTTAGAAATGCCATTTTGCAAATTTTCAATATGATTATATTTCAGGCCAATATAACCAGTATATAGAAGACATTCATCCTTATATCGTTTAAAATTTGATGTTTTCTGGTCAGAATGATTTCACTTGAATTAGTCTAAATACTAATTGATATAAGTAAAATTAGAATCACATCAAATTTTTTTCCCCGGAAAATAGATAAAGCAGAATTAAACTTGCATCAATAAAGACGATTTGTTAATTCAAACAGAATNTTAACCTAACCCTAAAATGAAAAATAATAATCATGTACAAGTATACTGTACAAAATTGATAGGAGGGGGTCCAAAAATTGTTCTCTAGGACTTTACAGTGTAATTTTTGGCATTATTTTTATAGCTTACATGATTTTAAAGGTTTAATAGGTTTTTTAGAGTCAGGTCTAAATGTAGTATAGAAAAGTGTTTAATCTAATCTGAGGTTTTCACTAAGCGTATATTATAGATCTCTGGTACAGTCCTTATGGACCCCCCCCTTCCTATACTTTTTTGTAAGCAATTTTAANGGGGGCATGATTCCCCTTGGTAGCTATGATCTCAGCGATCCAAAACGTCCTTGAATTGCTGATCGTAAAAGATCAACAAAACTCGCCCACTGTTACAGTAGTATAGAAGAATGTGTAATCTAATCTGAGGTTTTCACTAAACAGTATATTATAGATCTCCGGTACAGTCCTTTTGGAAGATTTTTGGCCCCCCCCCCCCTTCCTTTATTTTTTTGTATGCAATTTTAATTATTTTTTAACATTAAATTGAGATTTAAGTTATTTTATTCCATGGTAAAAGCAGGCATAAAAATCATAAGGGGGGGGGGTCCAAAAAATTGTTACTAGGAAATTATCCTGGGTTTCTATTATACAGCAGAGGTTTCCACTATACAACTCAGGAGAGATTTCTACTATAATTGCAGCAGAGGTTTCCACTTTACAGTGGAGGTTTCCACTACACATGACTATGTGAGGTTTCCATTTAACAATAGAGGTTTCTACTATTCAGTTTCCACTAAAGGTTTCCATTATACAGTAAAGGTTTCCTCTAAACAGGAGAGGTTTCCATTATACAGTAAAGGTTTCCACTAAACAGGAGAGGTTTCCATTACACAGTAAAGGTTCCCACTACACAGTAGAGGTTTCCATTACACAGTAAAGGTTTCCACTAAACAGGAGAGGTTTCCATTACACAGTAAAGGTTTCCGCTAAACAGGAGAGGTTTCCATGACTGTAGAGAGATTTCTATTTTTACTTCAGAAAAGATGGACAGCGATGGTTTCAAAATTGGAGTTACCCTCTCCCCTTCCCACCTTCCCTATCAAAGTCCCCTGCACCCCCCGCCCCAATGTTTTTCTCTACTTGAAAATATTTTCCATTGTAAAACAGAATATTTTTCTGCTTTGATGTCTTCATTATTTCTTTTTCTCTTCTGACCCGGATTACCATGATTGTAAATTGATCAACCTAAGATAATAAATCAAATCAAGGTTACAAAAATAAGGAAATATTAAGCTTGTACACAGCAAAACAAGATGTGCACGCTCTCATGCAAAAATTAAGCAGCATTTTGACAATTACTCCTTTTAAATTTAAGCCAGAAAAAAGCACGTTGCAATTTAAAAAAAGTATATGTCTAGGGCTACAAAAAAGCATCTGTGAGTTGGTGAGGTAAAACCAAAGGCCAAGGCGTTGCAACACTTCAAAATTGATGCTGTCTAAAAATTTGATGATTAAGTTTCAGAGTTGTCTAGATCTCATTCTCAGTGTGTAGATATTATCTTTTATTCATATATTTTGGGGTCAAAAATGTTAGCAAAAATAACTTTATCTATTTTGTTTTAAATTCTTGACGAAAGAAACTGAAGGCACGCCACTTACTTCTTTATGTTTGCAACCTGATGTCGCAGACCTTGGTCATTTCTAATTATGAATTCTGCTTCATTAAAAAGTCGAAATTCGAAATATCAAAGGTTTACATGAGGCTGCAAAGGTAAAGGCATAAATATCAATAGTTAGTGTTCAGTAACTAAGCAATTTTTCAGACGTTTGTTTATCTGCTGGCCCCAATCTGTCGGAATATTCGAGAATCTGATTTCGAGCAGAATCTGAGATTACAGAACGGAAAGAGAGTCTGGCAAGCACTTTGGGAGTTCAGACATCCAGATATACCTTGCTTTCAGATACAGGTAGATACCCAGATATACCTTGCTTTCAGATACAGGTAGATATCCAGATATACCTTGTTTTCAGATACAGGTAGATATCAAGATATACCTTGTTATCAGCTACAGGTAGATATCAAGATATACCTTGTTATCAGATAAAGGTAGATATCAAGATATACCTTGTTATCAGATACAGGTAGATATCCGGATATAGGTAGATATCCAGATACAGGTAGATATTCAAATACAAAGGTAGATATCCGAATATATGTTGATATCCAGATACAGATAGCAGGTAGATATTCTGATACAGGTGGATATCCGGATACAGTAGATATCCAGATACAGGTAGATATTCAGATACAGTACATATCCAGATACGGGTAGATATCCATATACAGGTAGATATCCAGATATAGGTAGATATCCAGATAAAGGTGGATATCCAGATACAGGTAGATATCCAGATAAAGGTAGAAATCCAGATACAGGTAGATATCCAGATAAGGTAGATATCCAGATAAAGGTAGATATCCAGATACAGGTAGATATCCAGATAAGGTAGATATCCAGATAAGGTAGATATCCAGATACAGGTAGATATCCAGATACAGGTAGATATCCAGATACAGGTAGATATCCATATAAAGGTAGATATCCAGATATAGGTAGATATTCAGATAAAGGTGGATATCCAGATAAAGGTGGATATGCAAATATAGGTAGATATCCAGATAAAGGTAGATATCCAGATATAGGTAGATATCCAGATACAGGTAGATATCCAGATACAGGTAGATATCCAGATACAGGTAGATATCCAGATATAGGTAGATATCCAGATAAGGTAGATATCCATATACAGGTAGATATCCAGATATAGGTAGATATCCAGATAAAGGTGGATATCCAGACAAAGGTGGATATGCAGATATAGGTAGATATCCAGATAAAGGTAGATATCCAGATATAGGTAGATATCCAGATATAGGTAGATATCCAGATATATGTATATATCCAGATAAAGGTAGATATCCAGATATAGGTAGATATCCAGATAAAGGTAGATATCCAGATGTAGGTAGATATCCAGATAGAGGTAGATATCCAGATATTGGTAGATATCCAGATAAAGGTAGATATCCAGATATAGGTAGATATCTAGACATATACTCACAAAAGACTAGTACAGATTATACGGTAAGATAAAAAGCATATCTTTCTATTTATTTTAAAGATTCCTTAGATCAAAGGTGTCAGATATCAGAGGAAAACAAATATTTGTTTACAGTACGTTAAATATTCAAATATGTGTTTATTGATTGGTGCAAACATGAAAATCATGCACTGTGTTTGACAGATAGATATGGATTTTCTCCGAGCTTTATAGCCAAAATACGTTAAATATTCTTTTTAAAAGTTTTTTTCTGCATACAAATTGTTGTATTTGTCAAATACCATTTTTAAGATTTTTTGTTATCTACTAAAATCCTAATTCAAAGCTATGAACGATCCAATATATGATGTATAATAAACATTTATTTTTATTTAGTCCAATATTATGTGGGACACCCTACGGTAAATTCCAGTTCATTTCATGTACCGGGCCGAATTTCAACTAGCCGGGGCAAGCATGTACAGTACAAATACAGACCATGTGATACAAGNCTAAACACATCTTTTTCTGTTAAAGTATCAAATCAGGTCCTCGACTAAACACATCTTTTTCTGTTAAAGTATCAAATCAGGTCCTCGACTAAACACATCTTTTTCTGTTAAAGTATCAAATCAGGTCCTCGACTAAACACATCTTTTTCTGTTAAAGTATCAAATCAGGTCCTCGACTAAACACATCTTTTTCTGTTAAAGTATCAAATCAGGTCCTCGACTAAACACATCTTTTTCTGTTAAAGTATCAAATCAGGTCCTCGACTAAACACATCTTTTTCTGTTAAAGTATCAAATCAGGTCCTCGACTAAACACATCTTTTTCTGTTAAAGTATCAAATCAGGTCCTCGACTAAACACATCTTTTTCTGTTAAAGTATCAAATCAGGTCCTCGACTAAACACATCTTTTTCTGTTAAAGTATCAAATCAGGTCCTCGACTAAACACATCTTTTTCTGTTAAAGTATCAAATCAGGTCCTCGACTAAACACATCTTTTTCTGTTAAAGTATCAAATCAGGTCCTCGACTAAACACATCTTTTTCTGTTAAAGTATCAAATCAGGTCCTCGACTAAACACATCTTTTTCTGTTAAAGTATCAAATCAGGTCCTCGACTAAACACATCTTTTTCTGTTAAAGTATCAAATCAGGTCCTCGACTAAACACATCTTTTTCTGTTAAAGTATCAAATCAGGTCCTCGACTAAACACATCTTTTTCTGTTAAAGTATCAAATCAGGTCCTCGACTAAACACATCTTTTTCTGTTAAAGTATCAAATCAGGTCCTCGACTAAACACATCTTTTTCTGTTAAAGTATCAAATCAGGTCCTCGACTAAACACATCTTTTTCTGTTAAAGTATCAAATCAGGTCCTCGACTAAACACATCTTTTTCTGTTAAAGTATCAAATCAGGTCCTCGACTAAACACATCTTTTTCTGTTAAAGTATCAAATCAGGTCCTCGACTAAACACATCTTTTTCTGTTAAAGTATCAAATCAGGTCCTCGACTAAACACATCTTTTTCTGTTAAAGTATCAAATCAGGTCCTCGACTAAACACATCTTTTTCTGTTTGTAAAACATTTTTTTGACCGAAAAATTATTTATTTGACTTTTTTTTCTAACAGTTCTGAAAACCAAAAATATAATTAAATTTTTTTTCAAGATTTTTTATTTCAGGAAAATTCCACATCTCAATTTGGCTTCTCATTTGATGAAAGGTAGGAATTGAAATTAGTTCTATATTATTTTTAATTGAAAATTAGATTCAAAAATCCCTGGCAGATTTGTTGAAAATCCTCTAAATTTAAAAATAAAATTCTCTGTTTAGTTTTCTCGTTTTAATTTGTTGAACAAGGTTTTAAAGGATCAAAGATAGGAAACTTTGTTAATTAAACCTGACATGATATTAACTCGGGTAATAGAGATGGCGAAGGTGTAAAACAGATTTTAGAATTAATCGTTCAATATTTTAAACACATATTAGGAGATAGAGAAAATAAAAAATAGAAAATTATGTTTTTAAATGTGGGTCTTTAACAACGTTTTACACTTTTATAGTTAGAGTATAATTGGGGTGTAAATTTATAAGTAAAAGAATTAGTGGAACAGAAACCTTATTGGGTTTATTTCCTCCTATTAGTTCTGGAGTCATTGAGAAGTCCGATTAGAATTCTACAAAATTTAAGTTGCACTTTTCCGTTTGACCCAGTTTAGTTTTTCAACAAATGATGAACAACATTCACCAGTACCGTATATTTTTTACTTAAAGTTAAAACGAATGCATGAAGCTATGCAATTATTATTTCTCATCTTTTTTACCGGAAGAGTTTTATATTGTTCCTAATGATGTAATCTCTAGATACATAACCGCCATTTTGTTTTAGTGGTATAACAACAGCTGTTCCCTCCACGCCACGTGCAAGTTCCTCACTAGCGACACACTTTGATATAGCGGTCCTGCGCTGTCTCTTCATCTCACAGTGGAACGAAGATGGGGTTTTCTGGGCAACTTCATACTTAGATAAAAGGTAAGTTTATTTGAAGTCTTTTGATTTTTAAAATTTCGTTTTTTTTAGTTTGTAAAATTTCAAACTAATGTCTTTTTGACAAATTAAAACTACAGAAAAATATCATACTGTGATTTTAGAATTTTTGGAAACATTAACAATTTCCCTTTAAAAAATATAAAAAACTCATTAATTTTAACAAAAATGTCCTCTTATGATATTTATAAGAGTTCTATTGATAATATTGGTGTTGATGTTGTTTTTGAGAGTTTGAAATATTCATGAGAAAACTTGTATTAAACTTGTGGAGTCTGCTCACAGCCTTAGCTCCTTTAATAACCAGGCCTTGTAGAAATATATAGGGTGTCACAATACACAATAAACATAGAGGAATTTAAAGAGACAATCTTAAAGGGACTGAATGCGTAGATTCAAGTATTCCTCCACTTTTCACAACAGTTTACATCCATCGTTCATATTTTTAAAAATCTATTTTTTCTAATGTGGTTTCTCTGCATTATATTATGTTTTCTACTGCCGAAACAATGGAAGAATTCGCATAGTTAAACCATTTTCAAGCTAGAAAAAAAGACGAAAATTTTCCAAAATAAATTGGGTATCGGGAGTCTATTATGCCTCTCTTTTAAAGTTTCTTTGTATCTTAAAAACTGACTTTCTATCTATCAACTTATCTATTTCAACCTATTTATTTATTTATTTCTTAAAAACATCCGAATTCTAAATCCTTTGGCCCAACTGAATTTTGTTGGCACTCTATTTTAAGTTTGAATGGTAAGGTATTGGCAGTAGTTTATGGTTTCGAGGCAAAAAAAATTATAAAAACATTGATTTCTAATCTCTGTTGAAGGAAAAATTCTACTATTATTATATCTGACATGTAATTTGCTTAAAAAATGCAGTTTTTTTTCCAAAAGGAACTGAAAATATTTTCTTACTGTTCCTTAAATCTTAATTAAACAAATATGAAATCCAAAAGTTACAAGCTCTGCCTATTTTCTTAGTTTTCAGTTTATACATTTACTATATTTAATACCTCCCCGGCCCCTTTCACTCTAATTTTTCTTTTTAAAGTTGGGAGTTAAGTGTAGGCCTATACCTACTTTTGACCGTTTTAGACAGCTACCACGTCAAGCTAAAGTAAATTTTAGACAGCTACCACGTCAAGCTAAAGTAAATTTTAGACAGCTACCACGTCAAGCTAAAGTAAATTTTTGACAGCTACCACGTCAAGCTAAAGTAAATTTTAGACAGCTACCACGTCAAGCTAAAGTAAATTTTAGACAGCTACCACGTCAAGCTAAAGTAAATTTTAGACAGCTACCACGTCAAGCTAAAGTAAATTTTAGACAGCTACCACGTCAAGCTAAAGTAAATTTTAGACAGCTACCACGTCAAGCTAAAGTAAATTTTAGACAGCTACCACGTCAAGCTAAAGTAAATTTTAGACAGCTACCACGTCAAGCTAAAGTAAATTTTAGACAGCTACCACGTCAAGCTAAAGTAAATTTTAGACAGCTACCACGTCAAGCTAAAGTAAATTTTAGACAGCTACCACGTCAAGCTAAAGTAAATTTTAGACAGCTACCACGTCAAGCTAAAGTAAATTTTAGACAGCTACCACGTCAAGCTAAAGTAAATTTTAGACAGCTACCACGTCAAGCTAAAGTAAATTTTAGACAGCTACCACGTCAAGCTAAAGTAAATTTTAGACAGCTACCACGTCAAGCTAAAGTAAATTTTAGACAGCTACCACGTCAAGCTAAAGTAAATTTTAGACAGCTACCACGTCAAGCTAAAGTAAATTTTAGACAGCTACCACGTCAAGCTAAAGTAAATTTTAGACAGCTACCACGTCAAGCTAAAGTAAATTTTAGACAGCTACCACGTCAAGCTAAAGTAAATTTTAGACAGCTACCACGTCAAGCTAAAGTAAATTTTAGACAGCTACCACGTCAAGCTAAAGTAAATTTTAGACAGCTACCACGTCAAGCTAAAGTAAATTTTAGACAGCTACCACGTCAAGCTAAAGTAAATTTTAGACAGCTACCACGTCAAGCTAAAGTAAATTTTAGACAGCTACCACGTCAAGCTAAAGTAAATTTTAGACAGCTACCACGTCAAGCTAAAGTAAATTTTAGACAGCTACCACGTCAAGCTAAAGTAAATTTTAGACAGCTACCACGTCAAGCTAAAGTAAATTTTAGACAGCTACCACGNATTGACATTGATAGTAAAGTATTGGCACAGATAAAGTTGTGTCCGGATTGACATTGATAGTAAAGTATTGGCACAGATAAAGTTGTGTCCGGATTGACATTGATAGTAAAGTGTTATTGAACTGATAAGTTCTTATGCCTAGTAGACCTTAGAGAAGGATTGAGTTGTACTTGGATTGATACGGGTCCAAAAGGATTCATTGGAGTAGGGCATTTTTACATTCTTGTTTAAATATTTATTTTCGTTTTGCTCATTTTAAAATAAATGAAATAATTGAATTAGCTAGACATTTTAGGACAATTTGAATTTGATGTTTACCTTTATGTAAAATAGTTATTTGAAATAGTATTCTTTAATTCAGATAATTCCCTCCTTTATCTATGAAAGTTTTTAATTCTGAATTTTTGGTCAAACCAAAACGGGGTTAAAATTAAAATTGAACTTAATAAAATAAAATAATTTAAGAAATGTTTGTACTCTANAATTGTAATAATTGTAATAATTGTAATAATTGTAATAATTGTAATAATTGTAATAATTGTAATAATTGTAATAATTGTAATAATTGTAATAATTGTAATAATTGTAATAATTGTAATAATTGTAATAATTGTAATAATTGTAATAATTGTAATAATTGTAATAATTGTAATAATTGTAATAATTGTAATAATTGTAATAATTGTAATAATTGTAATAATTGTAATAATTGTAATAATTGTAATAATTGTAATAATTGTAATAATTGTAATAATTGTAATAATTGTAATAATTGTAATAATTGTAATAATTGTAATAATTGTAATAATTGTAATAATTGTAATAATTGTAATAATTGTAATAATTGTAATAATTGTAATAATTGTAATAATTGTAATAATTGTAATAATTGTAATAATTGTAATAATTGTAATAATTGTAATAATTGTAATAATTGTAATAATTGTAATAATTGTAATAATTGTAATAATTGTAATAATTGTAATAATTGTAATAATTGTAATAATTGTAATAATTGTAATAATTGTAATAATTGTAATAATTCAAATAGTTCAAATAGTTCAAATAATTCTAATAATTCTTACTTGCATATTTTTTTCAAAATATGCAAAGGAGAGTCTTTGCCACAAACTCTGATTTTCGAATCCTTATATCTTTGGGACCTAATGTCGTAGGCCTTGAATACTTCAATCAGGTTACAAAGCTATAGGAATTAAAGTTTGAGGTAAAGACCCAAATCCTTTAGTATGGTGTTTAGGTGCTTTAATGTCAGAAATATTTGACAATTTTTAATTTTAAGAGAAGTACTTGATTCCTTAATGTACACTGTACAGTTTACAGTGTACATTGTACAGTTTACAGTGTACATTGTACAGTTTACAGTGTAAATTGTACAGTTTACAGTGTACACTGTACAGTTTACAGTGTACACTGTACAGTTTACAGTGTATACTGTACAGTTTACAGTGTACATTGTACAGTGATGAACAGAAAACTCTGGAATGGAAAGTCGAATTTTAGACTTTCAATGAACATGAGACACAGCAATTCTGCAGTGTAAACAGACCAATTTCACTCTATAACACGGTGAACTAGGGTCAGTTTAAATTCAACCCGTCCTAACCCCTTGTAGCGGCTTTAGTGACGCGCGGCAAGTACCGACCTGATTCTATCCTATGCCAGCTAGGTTTCAACTTTGATGGCGCGGCCAGACTTTTTACAGTACCCGGCCAATGATAGGCCTATTTGACATTTCCCACTAGCTTAGTCTGTTGTGATAAGTGATTTTATAACTTACGAGTAAAGCTATTTGCTTTGCAAAAACATAATATGCACTGTAGTGTTTCTTGAATGTCGTCTTCCTCTTTTATAGTTTTCCGGTTACCACTGTATACATCTTTAGCTTTACAGGGCAATAATTTAACCCGCAGAACTGCAGCAGATATCTGCTTAATCTTTGAGTTTGCAAATTACCATTTAAAAGTGTTGACCTTTGATACAACATTTCTATTTTCTAGGTAACAGTTCACGAGTCAAGTGAGAATAAAATGGAAAAGATGGAAAAAATTACCGAGTCAACACTTGAATCTAAATCTACAGAAAGGTTAACATTTTTTTCAATTTCATAAAACAAAGGAATTCAGTCTTTGCCACAAACTCTGGTGTTCGAATTCCTATATCTTTGCAATTAACCCTATGTCGTAGACCTTATGAATTAGATCAAATAATATAAGTTTGAAATATTACACCATCAGGTTGCAAAGATACAGGGAATAGAAAATTTGAGTATGTGGCAAAGATTCAACTCCGTATTACATTGTAGAAAAACATTTTGTTCATTGCAAAATTTGACACATTTTAGTCCAAATTACTTACAATATAAACATGTGTCATATATTCCTAATGTGCTTTTCATAATAACAAAATGTTTTTAATTTAGAAGTTCTTTTAAAAATTTGATAATACAAACAAAATGTTTGGGAGGTAAACTTCACTATTTCTATTTGAAATAAAGTTTATTGTGATTATTTTTTACGAAAAAAACAGCTTTATTTTCTATTTGAAAAATCATTGTCTAGCAAAAATAAAAGAAATAAATGAATGCAATGAAGATCTTAAATATATAATAAACATTACAATTCCAAACACTGTAGTCTCAGTAGAAGTAAATATTCCCATTTACTGTTAGCGCCGAGTAAAGGATTCATATTTCTAATTGGATAATGAGATAGATAGAAAGATAGATGTTACCGCCATATTATTGGTTCAGAATAGACAACAATCACATGGCTGAACCCTGATTG